GTTTTGGCCGCTCCTTTGTTTGCTCAGTGGGGAGTTCTTAAGACCTCCTAACTAGTATCATCAGTGTTGCAACGTACTATCGATCCTGTTGGACTTTAGTGTTGATCTTTTTGGAGGTAAAAGGGAAAGGGGAAGAGGAATCAAAGGGAAAATATCTGTAGTTGTGGCTGAATGTGTGGGCAGGAAGAATGATACTGGCTACCCAGCCAACATTCTGAAACCTTCACAAATACAAGCTTCACTTGATAAGCAGAGAAAGAAGCTACAGGAGGCTCCAATCTCTCTCTGTCGACATTCACATTGGCCAGGATTGAACACCCAGAAACCAAAGGGGTCTAATGATCACTGGCAATGCACAAGTAGCCTTCAAAAGACTATTTTGCAAATGTGTTAGGTCAATTCCCATCCAAATCTGCTCATTCCAATACTTTACAAGGAGAAAAGAGTTATGTTTCTCTTTTCGAAGTATTCTATGTATGTGAATCCCCTTAACATTCAAATGTTGAACAGAATTATTCACACTTAACACATAATAAGATATTTCTAGTATATAAATTGTCCTGAGAGCATTATGTCTTAGGCATTTTAGGAAACTACATTAATGTCACCAAGAGAGAGATTTCAACAGGCAGATACATGCAAAGGGATAGCGATCCAGGCATGAAGAATGGTGTGGGCAAACAGCCAAAAGCAGGAGAGGGCAAGACAAGCAGCTAGCAGTCCAGCTGGCCTAGAATGTCTAGGTTATGAAAGGGAACATAATAAGACTAGAAGGGCACCCGTGAGCCATATTGGAAAAGGCCTTCACTGTCAGACATTTGTGTTTAGTTCTATGGGGAGTTACTGAAGGTCTCTGGGCAGGAAAAGTATCTGATCAGATATGGGTTCTGCTTACCCCCAGAAGGCAGAACTAGGTGCAAGATGGGAAAGGCAGAGGTCAGCTCACTGGGAGGGCAAACTTCCCCAAAATTAGGACTTTCTTAAAGCAATGGCCTTCTTCAGAAGATAGTAGGAGGGCTTCAGGATCAGCTGTACAAATATTTGTCAAGGACTTTGTGATTAAGACTCCTGCTCAGGTAAAGAACTAGAGCAGAGGATCTCCAAGGTACCTTCCTACTTGATTCTGACTCACCAGAGGAGATTAACCAAGAAAGACCTAAGTCCTAGTCAGTAGGGGACTCATTTCTTCTCAGTTAGCCCTAAGTCAATGCCCTAGTAATGATATTAAGACTAAGAAGCCCTGTCTATGCTAAATCATCTCAAAGTTCCAAGGAAATACCAGTTGACCCCGTATCCTGACCATAATCTAAATTCAGATGACTGCCTCAGGCATGGCCTAGGAAGCCTTTTCCACAGACATCAATAGAATAGCCTGTGCCTCCATCAGTTCTCACAAAAGGAACTCGATGAAATTGAATTATTTCCCTATAAATGAAGGTGAAGTTGCTTACCGCCTTTCTCTACAGACAAGTGCTAGATAGCTCTCCATTTTTATTTTAATTTCTTGAGTGGAATCACAGAATGTTAACAATAGAAGGGATAAGCATCTATGATTGTATTGATATAAGGACTCCCACATGAGGAAGTTCCTCTACCAATGCAGGTTGACACCTGTACAACTTAAAGCCTTAGTGTTGCCTGGACCACTGAGGCATTAAGTGTCTTTCCCAAAGTCATACAGCTAGTTGATATGTCAGAGGCAAGATTTGAACCAAGGTCTTCCTGACTTCAGTACCCACTTTGATCACTATTACTTCCACCAAGAGATGAGAGAGACCTACAAAATCATCCTGTCCATCCCATTCCTTTTACTCTCAAGTAAATGGAATGGATGCCTGAGGAGGTAAAGTGTCATACCCAATGTCTCACAGACAGTAAATGGCAGAACCAGGTCACCTGACTAAATCCCATGCCATGCTCTTTCTTCTACATCATCCTGCCTCCAAAGTGGTTCTCAGACTTGATAAAGTTCATGAACTGTTTTTAGCAATCAAAAGTTGCCTTGGACAACCTCCCTCATTTGCTTTTACTTCCTGCCCCACTAACCTGTCCATTCTCCACTCCTTCCTCCAAATAAAGGCTCGCTAGAATTAATAGTAAGAAGGATAATTGTATTTGACAAGATGCCAAGGCAGGGACTTCTGGTCTGTGTTAAACACCATAAAATGATTAAGACATGCTACAAATAAAAGTAGAACTCTGGCCATATTATAAGCATGTATACTAGAATACTACAGTTGAAGACAGATTGTTAGAACTGACAGGGGTCTTAGAGATCATCTATTCCAGTGGTCTCAAACTAAACTTGTAAACTGAGTTTTAGGCATAGATCACTGCTTTAGGTTTCCTAGTAAAAGGTATGCAACATAAGCTAGAATTTTCCCAGCCCCTCTCCCAACTCTTGATCTTGTCCATTTCTATGGTTCTTTTACTCCTCAAAGCACTTTCTTAGCTCTTATTTCCATCTTATCCTAGATAAAGTCATTGGAGATGAGGCAGCACAGGGCAAGACAGAATGCGACAGCAACAATGAGGAAGATGAGGAAATTAGGACACACGTTCAATTTCCTCTTGCCCAAGGCAACACAACTGGTTTAATAAGACAGCCTTGATTAAAGCCTCAGTCCCTTGATTCTTAGCCCAGCATTCTTTCCACTAGACCCAACTAAAGTTCATTTAACCAATTACATATTGAATTAATGCTACATATCAGCTATATTATGGGGTAAAGATGCTGATATGGACTGGCTTGGAAGTTTAACCAACATTTGTAACATTGAGTTCCAAACATGTATTTACAAAGTTTTGAAACCCAAACTATTACAAAATGGTTTCAGCCTACAAGGCTGAAGTATATAAATATCTTCGCAGGAGGACAATTATCTCATCATAGCATAAATTTAGTACTAGAAGACACCTTAGAAGTTATCTAGGACAAACACTTCATTTTATATATGTGAGGGAACTGACTTCAATTCCAACTTTTATCATCTGCTTCCACCAAAAGATGTGAGAAACCTTTAAAGATGAACTAGGGGGCAGCTAAGTGGTGCAGTAGATAGAGCACTGGCTCTGGAGTCAGGAGTACTTGAGTTCAAATCCAGCCTCAGACACATAATACTTCCTAGCTATGTGACTCTGGGCAAGTCACTTAACCCCAATCACCTCACCCAAAAAAACAAAACAAAACAAACAAAAAAGATGAACTAGCTTGCTCAAAATCCCATGGGGAGCAAGTAGCATGGTGGAAATTCAAACCCAGATTCTCCATCTACAAGTCTAGCATTCTTTTCAGGATACCATAATAGTTCCTCAAAAGCAAACTGACAGGATAGAGCACTGGTCCTAGAGTCAGGAGGACCTGAGTTCAAATCCAGTCTCAGACCTGACACTTAACTAGCTGTATGACCCTGGGCAAGTTACTTAACCCCAACTGCCTCATAAAAAAAAAAAAGACTTGAAATAGCTTTGAGGCAGCTAGGTGGCACAATGGATAGAGCACCAACCCTGAGGTCAGGAGGACCTAAGTTCAAATCCAGCCTCAGACCAAACACTTGACACTTACTAGCTCTGGGACCCTGGGCAAGTCACTTAACGCCAACTGCCTGAAGAAAAAAAAAGCACAAACTGACTGCTAAACCAGTGGAGATTTATGGATATCTTTGTTCTACCTCACGACATCTCATTTGATATAACATTTTGCATCCAGATAGGCAAAGAAGTGTTGGTCCAGGATGAGGAGTCAGCAAACTAGGCCTGAGGGCCAAATCCTGCCTGCTACTGGTTTTGTACAGTCTCTAGAGCTAAGAATTTTTTTTAACATTTTTTTAGGTAAAATTTTATTGTAGTTAAAAATATAACAGCTCTCAGGCTGTTTAAAAAAAAAAGATGTCTATCCCTGGTCTAGGTTATTAACCAGAACATGGAATTTTCTATTTACAGTGAATCAGGTATTATTCAAGAATCCCAACAACAGAGAAGTAGACCTGTCAATAACTCATTTCATTTTAATGCAGGAATGAAATTTAACGTAATGAGAATAAGAGCAAGTCTGGAAGTCAGAAGACCTGGGTTCTAGTCTTGGTTCTTTTCAATAATGAGCTATGTGACCTTACTCTTTTCTGAGCCTCAGTTTTCTCATCTTTAAAGTGAAGACAGTTGGACTAGACCAGGGATTCTTAACTTATTTGGGGTCATGGACTCTTTTGGGAGTATTCCAGGGAAGTCTAAGGACCCCTTCTCAGAATACCATTTCTAAATGCATGAAATAAGATATATAAGGACACAAAAGAAACCAATCATACTGAAATATAGTTAACAAAATAGTTTTTAAACCAAGTTCATGACCCCCAAGTTAAGAACCCCTGAATAAGATGATTTCAAAAAGTGCTCTCAGTTTCTAGAATGCTATGGGCCTATGAGAAATTATGGGAATCCACTTGGCATTCTTCTAGCAGCTTGTAATAGGATAAGGTCCACATAAGACCTGTGGACCTCAGCTGCACAACCTATAAAAGTCACACAACATCTACCTTTAATAAAGTGCAATGATGTGTGAGATGAAACACTAAAATATACTCTGAAAGCAAACTTTTTTTGACAAAAGATTAATTTGATTAGTAGTATAGTTTACTGAACTACCATTCACATTTTGAAAAGGTGAAGTGTCAAGATCACTAATGCTTTTTCCTTTTTTTAAAAATAAGAATTAATAAAAGTGGTAATTAAAGCTGGCCTCAGAGACAGAAAGACATGAGTTTAATTCTACCTCAGATATAGACTGCCTGTGTGACCCAAAACAAGTCACCCACCTCTTTGGGATGTTCTAGGCAATTCCCTAAGACCAGAAGCTGCCAAGTAGTTATAAAAATAGTAGTAAAAAAGCCTATCTACATTTGCAGAAAGTATTTTGTCTTTGTTTTGTTTTTTTCCTCCCCAAGAGTTCCCTATACTAGTGAAATCACAGTTCAGGGTCAAAAAAAAAAGCAACCCCCACATACCATTCTAAAATCCTCTTCGAATTTGAAAGCCCCACCTCCTGTGGCACAGAGAGTAGTATGAAGACTGGAGAAGTTCTTTTCACTCCCCATCTGAATGAAACTGTGCATGGCGCAGCTGGGGAATCGGATGAAGTGCAAGTTGCCTTTCCGCCCACACATGGTAAGGTTCTTCAGCTCCAGGTGCACGTCTCGGATTCCAGTTTTCCCATAAGCTGTGTTAGAAGTCAAGTACTTTCTTATGCTCTTCAAATTCTCTACTTCCTCTTGCTCCTCTTCTGCTGTAATGTCTTTCGGTTCAAAGTAGACCAATTTAACCAGTGTTCCACCAATGTCCATGCCAAACCATGGGAAGGCTAGAGGAGACAAGGAGGGGATAGATAAAAAGAATTCATAAGGTACTAAATGTCCCAAAATGGAACTCTGACCACCCCCAATAAACGTGTTATTACAATGTATAAATACAGGAGAGCCAAGGTCAAAAATGACACATGGAGGTCTCAAAAGGCAGAAGTTAAGATTCCTGAGGCTGAATGCTACATTCAATCAACAAGCATATATGAAGCCCCTACTATATATTCCAAGTATTGTGCTAGGTCTTAGCAATACAAGGACAAAAATGAAGCAGCCTATCCTAAAGGAGTTCATATTCTATTGGGGAGGATGACATGTATACATATAGCATCCAAAGAAACACAAAATAAACCCAAGGAAAATTTAGGAGAAATACTAGCTGGGGGAACGGGGATGGGGATGGGGGTGGATATGTTAGGAGAAGTGTTTGAGCTGAGTTCTGTTGGAAATCAGAGTGTCTAAGAGGTAGAAGAAAGGAGGAAGTTCATAGATCACAAGAAAACTAAAAATGAACACATCACTATGATGAGGTAGCATGCACACTAGGGGTTTACTTCTCTACTTGGAAAACACTTCAGGGCAGCTAGGTGGTGCAGTGAATAGAGCACTGGCCCTGAAGTCAGGAGTGCCTGAGTTCAAATCTGGCCTCAGACCAAACACTTGACACTTACTAGCTGTGTGACCCTGAGCAAGTCACTTAACCCCAATTGCCTAAAAAAAAATTACAAAAAAAGGTAAAATGAGGAAATGGATATGAAAATGAAAGATGTCATATAAACAGTATCTATGGTATCTTGTAACTGATTGGATATGAAGCAAGGGAAAGGGGAGAGTGAAAGAAAACCTCAAGATTCTGAACATGGGAGAGCAGGGGGAACGGTGGTGCCACAAAGAAAAAAAGGAAGTCAGTTTGGGGTGGAGATAATGAGTTCCAGTTTCGACTAAATTTGGGGTGCCAGCAGGATATCTAGGTAGATATGGCCTGGAAGCAGCTGCTAATGAGGGTCTTTATCAGCAGCTAGGTAAGCATAGTAGACAGTACACTGGGCTTAGGATGAGGAAGACTCATCTTTATAAGTTCAAATCCATCCTCAGATACTTACTAGGTGTATGACCCTGGGCAAGTCATTTAACTCTATTAAGTTAAGAACTCAGTTCTTCATCTGTAAAATGAGCTAGAATAGAAAAAGATAAACTAGTATCTCTACCAAGAAAACCCCAAAATGGGGTCACAGAGAGTTGGACACAACTTAGAGATTCTTTTACCTGGAGGTAGTTATCTAAACCATGGAATCAATAAGATTGCCAAGTGTGGCAAGGTAAACAAAGAAAATAAGAATGTCAAGATCAGGCCCTTGAGAACACCCACATTACAAGGTGAGGCAGAAGATGAGGAGTCAACAAAGGAACTGTGTGTGCACTTCCAACCCTTCTCTAAGTGTTGGGGGAGAGAGGACTAGGAGATTCTCTGTCTTTGAAAAGAACAGAAAGAAATAGACTCTGACCACCCAATAGAAAAGAGGTGGACAGAGTCAAAAGTTCTATGTAGGTTAACGGGATAGACTCCTGATGAAAAACAAGAGGCCAATGATGAGATGGGATCAGTGACTCATTACTAAGCTTAGAGAGAGAGATTGTAGAGTGGTGGGTAGAATCCAGCTTTAAGAGGCTGAAGAAAAAGTAAACACCAAGGACGCTATAAACAACATTTTACAAGAAATATAGCACCAAAAGGGAGGAGAAAGACTGGGCAGTAGTTGGAGAAAATATAAGGGGAAAGGGAAGGCTTTTGTAGGATTGAAGATGATAGATTTAGAACCAGAAGACCATCAAGTACAACACCCTCATTTTACCTCTGGGGAAACTGAGGCACAGAAAGGTTAAGTGGTCCCACAGGGTCACTTAGCTAGTGAGCATCAGAAGCAGTATTTGAACCCAAGTCACCTTGACAGAAAGTCTAATGCCCTATCCACTATACTCTGCCACCAGGCCATGTTTGTAGGCAGACAGGAAAAAGCCAATGGCAAAAGATTTAAGACAGATTAAAATGCATGATAGAGAGATGAAGGATAGAATAATGCTCTAGAAGGAGCTTAAAGGTATAGGTCAAGGGTGCAAGTAGAAGCATGGGCCTTGGTGAGTAGTAAAGATCTCTCTTCTGTCACCACAGGAAAAGAGGTGAAAGGATAATAATTGTGAAAAACTTTAAGGACTTGGAGGAGAGCTAAGGGGGTTCATGGCAGATGGCTTCAATTTACTCCATGAAGTAGAAAGCTAGGTCACAAGATTACAGATTTAGAAATGGAAAGGGCTTTAGAGGTCATTTAATCCTAGCTCCCCCCCCCATCATTTTACAGACAAGGAAATTAAGGCTTGTATTTGAGGGTGACATGGCTTGACCATGAGGCAGAATGTGAAACCAGTTCCTCCTGATTCCAGGTCTAGAATTCTATCCAATAAATAATACAGTCTGTTTTGTAAGTAAATGTTAATGGTAGGGGAATAGAGGTTTGGAAGAGGCAAGAGGAGTATATGAAGAAGTTCAGAGCAGGCAGGAGGCCCAAATGAAGCCAAGTACCATGAATTGGTAGTGGGTAAAATAAGTCAGTTGCTGGAAAAGAAACAGGGTAATGAGTTGAAGAACAGAGGTTATACAGGCATGAGGATTCACAAGTCCCCTGCAAAGAGCCCCATCACATGGGACTTTCCATTAGCATCTAGTTTAAGGGAGGGTATATTTTCCAAGCTGATTTTAACCTATTTTGTGCCATGGACCCTCCTACTTTCCCTATTACTGTGGAGGGTAAAACCATCTTCCCCGTCCCTCAGGCTCCCAACCTAAGTCTTCCTGGTCTCCTCACTATTTCTCAGCCTCCCACGTCCAAGCTCCCAAGGCCCGTAAACTTCACTTTTGCAACATCTCTCATACATGCCCTCTTCTTTCCTCTGATACTGCACCACCCTGGTGGAGATCTTCATCGCCTTACAACTAAACTATTTTAATAGCCTCTTGGTTGGTCTGCATGTCCTCAAGTCTCACTCCAGCTCATCCTCCATTCAGCTACCAGAGTCATCTTCCTCAAATGCAGGTCTGACCATGTCACCTCTATACACATGCAGACACACACACACACACACACACACACACACACACACACACTCAATAAACTCCAGTGGCTCCCTATTACCTCCAGGATAAAATACAAAATCCTCTCTTTGGCATTCAAAACCCTTCATAACTTGGCCCCCTCCTACCTTTCCAATCTTCTTTACGCCTTATTCCCTACCATATATTTTCTGAGCAAGTGACACTGGCCTCCTTGCTGTTCCATGAACGAGACACTTCATCTCTATCTCATAGCATGTGCACCTCCCCCCCCCATGCCTGCACAATGACCTTCCTTCTCATTTCCACCTACTGGCTTCCTTTAAGCGCCAACCAAAATCCCACCTTCTATAGGAAGGCTTTCCCAATGCCTCTTAATTCTAGTGCCTTCCTTCATTTAATTTTTTACTATTTATCCTGTATATAATTTGTTTGTCTATATTTGCTTACTTGTTCTCTCCTCCATTAGACTGTGAGCTCCTTAAGGGCAGAGACTATCTTTTGCCTCTTTCTGTATCCCCAGTACTTGGCACAGTGCCTGGCAAATAGTAAGAATTTAATAAATGTTTATTGACTGACTGACTTTCAACAGTCTGGTGAAGCCTGTGGACCCTTCTCAGAATCTTTTTAAATAATGGGGGGAAGTGCTAAATTTTAGATGTTAGTGAAAATAAAAATTTAATTTTTCCCATCCAAGTTCACAGATCCCCTGAAATCTGTAGACTTCAGGCTAAGAAGCCTCCTAGGTTACTAGAAGAAAGCAAAAACAGAGTAGAAGAGAGAGACCTGGAATGAGTCGAGGGACTAAAGGTCAAAATAAGGGCAAAGAGGAGATTTAGTGAGATTGACAGAGGGGCATAGGTGGGATAATCAAAGAACGGAATTTAAAACTTACAGCTCTTAGAAGTAGTGCAATTCTTGGAGATGGTATTGTATAAGTATGGTCATGGTGTTCATCTGAAGTGGGGTCAGAGGAAGGATGTTAGAATGAAGAAGAACCTCAATGAATTCTGTGGTCACACACCTTCTGCTGAAGGGTTAGCAACAGAAGACTTAAGTCTGCAGGGATGATGGCAAGGAATAGGCTTGAAAAGAAGACCATCAGTCATGTCAGGATGGCAAATGAAAGTAACAAAGATGGAGACAGGTTGGTATGGGCAGATGGGATGAAAGATGATATGCTCAAAAGAGCAAAGGTGATGGGATGATGGTAGAGAAATTACCTAAAATTAGCAGTAGAGAGCAAGAAACGTGCCCTCCCCATCTTGATTTACTATGAGTTAGGAGTAAGAGAAGAAGCAGCTGCCAATGGAAGAAGTCACAAAATACATAAGACAGGTTATGGACCACTGTGATTCCAAAAGGCCCAGAGGAACAGATTAAGCAATGGGTAAAGCAATGGAGTGGGACTGTGGAGGTATAGGGGTGATCAGAAGAGGGAGGGGGGTTTGGGAGGAGGTAATGTGAACAAGCCACTTAGACCTAAGGGCATGAGCCCAAAATGGAGAACGGATATAATAAAAGGCCCAGACTGCCTTGGCTTTCTTCCTCACAGTAGAAGAGAGGATTTACACAGTTAATTTACACAGTTAAACCAAAAGCTGAAGACAGAATTAGCCTTAGTTCCTGCTCCTAAGGTCTGCTTCAGTTCTTAGATTGATGGAGCAATCATTGGGGTTCTAAACTCCTTAACTCTGGGAAGGAAAAGAAGAAAGGGCTGCTGAGGGATGGAGTTCAAGTCCTCCAAGGAGGCCATAGCTCAATTACCAAGAGAGCCACTGGGCTCTGGGATGGATATGTATTATAACACCCATTTTAGAACAGAAGAAAATGAGGATCAGGGAGTTTAAGCTACTTGACTTAGGTCCTACAGCTAGGAAATAAGACAGCTGATTC